ACATTAAAGTTAAAGTTGTAAATACTTCATCACAAGGAAATTAGTCAAGCACTCTGAAAGTGTTTTTTTACTCTATATGTGGTATACAGGGAGATATTAAAATAAGTTTCATCAATTTATCAGTCATTGTTTTTATCAATGTTGTTTTTATATCATGTTTTTGTTGTTTTTATATCATGTTTTTGTTGTTTTTATATCATGTTTTTGTTGTTTTTATATCATGCCTGACACTGCCATTGTAAAGAAAGGATGAATAGTGATATTAAAATATTCTAATTAATTTCCTTTCAGTGTTCATGAATCTGTGCACCGGGCCACTAGTTGCTTATAAAAATGCACTAATCACCTGATATGAGGTTCAGAAAACATGTTCACCAAAGGCAAAAATATAAAGGTCCTAACAGTGCTGTTAACTTTGTCATATGAACTTTGACAAGCCTCTCGACCTTCATTTTTACCATCTTTAAAATGACAAATATGTTCCATCTTGGACTCTAGTTCTGATTCCTTGAGCTATGATTCCAGACTACTGTGTTGAAGAATCCAATACCTTCCCTAGGAAAAATTCAAAAGTCTGCTGCTAGTGTAAATTCTAGAAATGAAAAAAAAAAAAGTAGAACTGCAGCAGAAATATAACATACTTGCCAAGCAAAATATCTTAAGGTGCATGCCACAACAATTCTTGTAATAGTGAGGTTATAAGTCACTAAATGTTTTTGTCACTTACACGGGTATTGTTTATTTCAAGAAAAAAAATCATGACAGAAGAATAATTAATGACATTCAAAATATTTACTAAAAAAAAGCCATGTTCAAAACTAACCCCCCCTTGTTCCACTCTATCCACCAGTTAGACCTTTATTTGTAAGAGAGTGGAGTTTATTAGTTCATAGTTACACATATTAGGAACAAATACAGTGGGATTCAATTCCAGTTGAATTATCCTTTTCAGCATCTCTAAATTATACAAATTCTCAAATCTCAATGTCAAACTTCTCTTGCTGTAACTGTAATCTACCAGTCAGATATGTCAGTCACTTTACACATATTTTTCTGTCTTCTTCCACCCTATCATCCATTGATTCCTTTAATTTTACTCAATCTTCTACCCTGGTTCCAGATATGCCCTTTATAGAAAAAATCATGTACTTTTTGCACTTTTATTCTCCTATTATATCCTTCTGGTCAAATCTTAAGCTAAGATCAATCCAATGACCTAAACATGCTTTCTTCTCTGAAAGCCAAGAAGCAGGAAAAAAACAAAAAAACACATGCAACCATACATCTTAGTGACAAAACAACTTTATGCTTTAAACTTCAGCTGGGACTTTGGCATGATCTGTCTCCTTTATCAATCTATTTTCTACACTCTTCTCAAATCCCTATGCCATCACGTCACCTCTACCCTTACTTAGCAGTTGATCAAATCTTTCATTACAAAAATGAAAATAGGAGACATGAGATGTGAACCTAGAAACTTCCATCTACAGCCTTTCCTTAAATCTGTCCTCTCCCTGTCATTTCCATTTATTTACTAAGGTCCTATCTTTATCTAGAATGCATTCTTGAAATCATCACTACTCTTCCTTTAAAACATAAGTTAGGCACCATATCACTAGGAACGTACTAAGTTTCAAATAATTATCCCAATTTTGAACTTCCATAACATCCTGTGTTGATGGGTAACCCTTTAAAAGAACTATTTAATTGTGAGTGTGCGTGTGTGTGTGTGCGTGTGTGTGAGTGTGTGTGTGTGTGTGAGTGTGAGTTTGTGTGTGAGTGTGCGTGTGTGAGTGTGTGTGTGTGAGTGTGTGAGTGTGAGTTTGTGTGTGAGTGTGCGTGTGAGTGTGTGTGTGAGTGTGTTTGTGTGTGAGTGTGCGTGTGTGTGAGTGTGTGTGTGTCGCTCCCACCCCAGCCCCATCGCACATCTCTATATTCACTTTGAAAGCAGGAATTGTGGCTTTATTAGCTTTGTCTTGGGCTTAGCTGACAGTGGTCAGCAAACTGCGGCTCACGAGCCACATGCGGCTCTTAGGAGTACCCTAATTAAGTTAATAACAATGTACCTACCTATACAGTTTAAGTTTAAAAAATTTGGCTCTCAAAAGAAATTTCAATCGTTGTACTGTTGATATTTGGCTCTGCTGACTAATGAGTTTGCTGACCACTTAGCACAATACCTGCCATATACTAGAAATTTAAGAAATAATTGTTGAATGAGTCCATGAATGCATTTTGCTCTGTGAAGAATCTTAATTTCCCCATATCTGAGACAAGCTAAATGTTATAATGACTATTTTTATAAACAATGTTCTGTTCCTTTTCTTCTTTCAGAGAATCTTGAAGATCCTTGCTATTGACACCTTTGTGGTCTTCTCACCTTTGTTGACCTTACCTGGAAGCTTGCTATAAATGCAGAATACCACCCCCCTTCTATTTATCAAATGAATCTGCACTTTAATAGATGTGACTCATATGTACTAGTACATTAAATATTTAAAACCACTGCTCCAAAATGTATTTAGAAATCAAAGTCACTTGGGCATATACATCAAACAGGAAGTTTATGAGAGTTGAGTAAAAAGCCAAAGTAGTAGCTGAGACCATTTATCCAACAGGATACTATTTAACAATGCCAGGTGCTATTTATTAATTAATTAACTTAGTCAATGTATATTTTCCAAAACCAATCATATGCTAGAAATAATTCTAGGCACCGTGTTAAAGATAGGAATCAGAAAGCAGAATAAAAACAGTGTGTGGAAACTTACGCTTCAGTAGGCTGTTCTTTTCCTGTTAAAATCCTCTCCAGATATTTATAACTGTTGTAGAGGAGTCATAGTTAGACTAGTTGGATAAAGAAGCCTTTTTTATTTGAATATTAATGATTGAAAGTGGTGAGGGAATAGGGAAGAAGGAAGAAACATTTTCCTAATACCAGCTATGATGGTTCATTATATGTGTCAACTTGACTGGGCCACCAGCTAGCTGCCTTGGTATTTGGTTAAACATTACCGTGGGTATGTCTCTGAAGGTGTATCTGTATGAGATTCACTTTGTATCAGTAGACTGAGTAAATCAGGTTGTCCTCCCCGATGTGGATGGGACTCATCTAGTCAATTGGAGGTCTGAACAGAAGGGAATGTCTGGTAAGGTTTAATTTGCTCTTTCTGTCCAACAATCTTAGAGCTGGAGCATTGGTCTTCTCATGCCTTCAGACTCGGACTGGGACTGAATTATAGCATTGCTTCTCCTTCTGAATATGAATAGATATCAACAATCTCTATGTGGAATGAACCATAATTTTTAATAGTTTCTATACCCAAATTCTATTTTCCATTGCAATTTATTAGAATTTCTCTTCGTAAAATTTAGGCCACAAGCTTTCCACTTACCTATTATGCAAAGCATAGTTGCAATTCTTAAAGCCATTCATTATAGATTCATTACCACTGGCCTCTATTAGACACTTAAATGCCCGCGCCTTCTTCTGTTGCATTTTTCCAGAACTCATCACATTTCATTTATTTGTTTGGTACACTGATCTCAGTTCTGCTCCTCACTTCTAGGTTCTGCCCTTTTATTATCCAATCTAGCTAGAACAGAAGGAAGACTGGCAACTTTCATTTAACTGTCAGGTCTTTCTAAGGGTCCACTCACTGCAGTAAAATGACTCTACATTGTATTTAATGAACCATGGAGAGAGAGAGACCAATAAAAAAAAGTTTTCATGCCCTCAGAGCAAGAGGCTGGTCTCATCTTCTATTAAAGCTGTTTAACAGCCCACAACAACTGCCAGACATGGGGGAAAGGTGGGATGGCAGTGTAACTCAGCTACTCACCTCTCATAATGAAGCATCTGTTAAAAAAAATTATAGTGTTTTCTCCTTCTAAGAAGCTCAAAGGCAAAGGTGAGCCAAGTGGTAAAATAGAGACTCGATCAAACAATACATGTTCTAATTAGAATAAGAGAGAAAAATTAGGTTAGAAGGAAATAGAAAAAATGATGGGAGGTATTTCAGCAATTTAAATACTGTTCATTAGTGAGAATAAAAAGTACACAGCCTACCTACTGTTACAGAAAATGCGTTCCACACAATTTGGCAAGAATAATATTAGGCAGTAGATGAATTTTCTGTTTGTTTTGTAGACATAATAAAATTCCTGTATCATTTCTACATAATATTGGAGTTTGACCTCTCTCCCAGGAATTATATTCTCTTCTCTATGTTTGGACACATTGGCTATTAGTTTAAAGGTGAGAAAAATAATTAGTAAGAAAGCAGTTAGCATTGTTGTGCTTTATAAGCACAGACTCTCTTTTCCAAGAAGACTATTAACATCTTAGATTCACTTAAGCGTTCATGTTTGTTTGTTTTCTAAAACATATACATATACATATACATATACATATACATATACATATACATATACATATACATATATTTTTAGAGAGAGAAGGGGGAGGATAGAGAGATAGAGAGAGGAAGACATCTATTGGCTGCCTACTGCATGGCCCCCACTGGGGATTGAGCCTGAAACCTGGACATGTACCCTGACCAGGAATCAAACTAGCAACCTCTTAGTTCCTGGGTTGACGCTCAACCGCTTAGTCACACCAGCTGAACAGTTTTCATGGCTCTGTTTACATCATCTTAAACTAAAGTAAAGAGTTTATTAGTTCCCTTACATCAAAAATAAAAAGAATATATCTTCAGCTTTAAAAGAAAAATCAGTAACTAATAACGAGTAACCTTACATTATCCACAGATCTACAAAAATCGCCATATCGGACCACCCCGGTTGTTAAATGTCACTACTTAGAGGTTTGATTTTTGTTAGCTTATGAAAGTAAGTTTCCAGAAGTCACATGTTAAAATGCTGCTGTTTTGAAGATATAACTCAGCAAGTTAAGCCGTCACTACACAAGGGTATTTTTCAGAAATAGATTTCAGAAAACTCTGGGGTTATTACATTAAAAAAAAAATTAACCTACAGAAAAAAAAGATGGAAATAGGACCACCATTGACCTGGCAACTAGAAGGCCGGATGGGTTTCTGCTCATAATTCACCCCTTAACTGGATGCCTTGATGCAGAGAACAACCCTACATACACAGCCTAGAACCACAGGTGGTGACCCCAGGTGAAGGAATTAGAGCTTTGGGGGCTTTGAGATAAACTGAACCTACTAGTAAATAGAAGTACTTCAGATGAGGATATGAGGATGTCAGGCCTTACTAATAACAGGAAGTTGGAATTAAAAATTGTCTTTCTTCAGTGAATGACATAACAATAAAAGCGAGAACTAATTTGGTATATAAGAAGGTATCAAAGGTTGCTTTTTGTTTTAATCTATGTCAAATTTGCCTGGGGCTCACTCTGCATATGTTTTCCTGTGGAGTTTGTACTTGGGGATATTTATTTAGAAGAGCTTTAAAGCACATTGATATCCTTCAAAATGAGAGTATACAGAACATATAAATTCTAACGATAACTTGTTATTGGGTTGAGTAAATGCATTTTAATCAAACCAATCAAAGTTTCCCTTTTTCTCTTTATAAAAATGTCTGTGAAGTATCTGCCTTTAGCTTGTCAAAATAAATGAAAAAGCATCTCTGTTATTTTGCTTGTAAGAAAAAGTCAATGCTTGGGGCTGCATGCATAGCTTTACTTGTATTATAAGCTTACATTAAGGGCAATTTCTCCTTTGAGGGTAAGAATCGATTATCACTTTAAAAAAAGAAAAAGAAAAATGAAAGGCATTGTTAGGCATTTGTATAGCACATGACTAACCTTATAAGAGATTTTGTGGGCTATTTTTTTGTGACAGAAGCTGATCATGCCATAAAAGTTAAGACTACCTGGTGCTTTAATGAAAAGATATTTGACCCAATATTACATGTCCATCTAAAAATGCAACACAATGAAAGTATCCCTTTAGCTTTTGGCTTGAATGATAGAAGGTGTTTGACTGGCTTCTAGCTATATAAATATAGCCAATGTTACTTGCTTTTAAAATTCTTAACAAGAAAAACCATTCATCGAATTTATACTGAATCACTGTACAGCAGGCGTAGGCTTCGTACATAATCAGTAGTTATTGACACAATAAATAGTTACTATGTATTTGTCAGAAGTTATTATTAATCATCAGCTTCTTATAATGGCCATGCTGATGTCTTTCTAACAGCTCCCCTCTGTCAATGAAGTTATTGTGAATTGAGCTAAGAATTCCATGTAAGTGCTTGTTTTTAGAAGACTTTTGTGAAGAACATGCAGACATATGCATGTAGGCAATACATAATTGCCTTATTACTTTATTCGCATAATTCTATTTTATAGCTGGCTTTAGATATCTATCTTTAAAATTAACCACATTTGAGAAAGCTTCAGATTTATTCCCTTTTAAAGTGCATCAAAATATTATGTGAAATATTAAAAAAGGCTTATCAGAACACTAATTCTGCTTTAATTTGATTTTCAGTCTTTATCCCTTTCAGTTGTATGCAAGCAGCCAATTTGATGGGAAGGATGTGAATACCCACCAATGCATTTTTACCTAGTAAATTAATAGAGTCAATGAAGATAAAATTTTTAAAGAAAAAAAAGTCTTGTATATATTAATGGGGTAAATTTAGACAAGAGCAAACAATTTTTTTAATTTCAATTTATTGTTAAATTAGGCTGTGAATAAATTGAAATTAAAAAAATAGAGAGACGCTAGTAAGAAAATACCTACCTTGTCTTTTACTTCCAAGTTCAACAGCCCAACTTCTATATTTTTGTCAAATTCTTTGATATTTTCTTTTTCTTTACTACTTGTATTTATAAAATCATATTGTCCTATACATTGTATCACCAGTGAATCAATTTTAACTATCCTGGTTTAGGCCTGCCCAACTCTAGTTCTATACCCACAACTAAGCATATTTACATTGTATATAATAATGGAAATATGACATTTTATTTAAATGTTTGTAATAAGTTTATTATAAAATAAATAATATAAAAATATAAGAACAATACTTTTTAAAGATAATTTTCTTATGTCAATGGCTGTTTTGATTACAGATTGCACTGGAGCAAACAGCTTTGAAAGAAGTCAAAGCCCATGTAGACAATGTTACATTCATATAGATTGCCAATTAGCAGCACTCCTAAATTTCAAAAAATTTGAGTGAAACAATGTTTTACACTTTGGAAAATATTTTGGTACCTTTTCAAATTATGGTATCAATACATTAAACACAAAATTCTCAATGTTTGCTAAACAATGAATCAATCATAGACAATATCATAGAATATTTCAAAATATTAAAACATTACATCATGATCAAACACTCAATAGTTAATATGCTTACTGAAAATCAATTTTCCAATTTTACTGTATTGTTTTGAGGATATTCCTACACATTGAGCAATAGGCAAAGAAACTGAGATGTGATGGTCATGCAAATGTGGCTTAGGTCACCAGCATTCCTTCTTGCATATGACACTAACAAATGAGAATTTGGTAAACACTAATTCTTGGACTTGGGTCTTATTTTACTTAAGAGTAATTAATTGGTTCTCATATTGTGTTCAAAATTTTCAGTGTTTTCAAATAAAAAATAAGGGCCCCTGCTTAGAGAAAATTGTTATCTATTAATAGCTTTTATAAAACAGGAGAAATTTTAAAAAACCAATCTTGTATATAAAAGGAAAACAGCTCTAGCCAGTTTGACTCAGTGGATAGGACATCAGCCTGCGGACTGAAGGGTCCCAGGTTCAATTCCGGTCAAGGGCGTGTACCTTGGCTGCGGGCACATTCCCAGTAGGGAGTGTGCAGGAGGCAGCTGATCTTACATTAAATAAATGGAAAACAAAAATGTTTGATAACTGTTCTTCTCCCTTGTTTTTCTTTTTTCTCTCCCTCCACCCTCCCCCTCCCCCCAATAAGGCTATCTGAATGGCACTTGGAGAACTTTGCTGTTTATGACTGTGTAAACATTTTGGAGATTATGAAGAATTATTAATCTATTTTGAAAATGAATGTAAAAATTAATCTTGAATTCACTGTAAATAATGCACAATGGGATTTCAAAATTGTATGAGTCTTTGAAAGTTCTCAAACTCAAGAAAAAAAGTTTGGCATATTATCCATT